CTGAGAGTACGAAACACACAAGGAACTTGAAGAATCATACTCAAATAAGCAAATAATATAGCAGCAATCAAAAGTTGTTTGAAGGGACCTTAAGAAATTTTGCTAAAATACAACAAATTCGGAATGAAAGCCAAGAACAGAAAACTGAATCAATCCAGGTTTGGAAATGCCACCAAAACACACCAGAGGAAAAGAATATGAAGCAATTGGAAATAATGTCCCATATGAAGGGATATTAAGGTCCCTTCCAACAGTGTTGGAATGGCCAGTAACTTTAGAAAAATTTGTTTCATCACTGAGTCCAGGCTATTTATCCTGCTACTAGAGCAACTGTCCTTCCCAGTGGACGAGAAAGGTCCTTGCAGCTTAGATCCTCCTTGTGACATCKGCTGTTATCCACACGGCCACGGGACAAGAACCCATTCCAGGGAAACCACAGCCAACCGACCGCTTAAACTGCAAATCCCACTGTAGCAGTAAATGGGAAAGCCCTTGGGTGGTAACATGCAAACTGTCTATTAAAAGTAATAATGAAAGGATGTAAAGGGCCCAGAAGAGACTGATGCCAGGGGAGAGGCTGCAGGGCTRCTTAGGGGTGTCAGAAGAACAGAGGCATCTTTATGGTGACCGGTGACTGTATCCAATTTGTAAAGATAAAAGGCAGCGTTCTCAGGCAATTTAACAAATTAGAAAAGGGTCATTAATTAAGAACTAAGAAGTAACATTTGTGACAGAAATAGAACAGCAGATTTACTCAAAAAAATGAATGCAGAAGTCATCAACACTGACTAAGACACTGCCTGATTTTTAAGACACATTAAGGTTTACAGAGTCACAGACTGGCTGAGGTTGGAAGGGACCTCTAGAGATCACCCAGTSCAACCCCCTGCTCCAGCAGKGACACCCAGAGCACGGGGCACAGGGTGGCAGCCAGGCGGSTTTGGAAGATCTCCAGAGAAGGAGACTCCACAGCCTCCCTGGGCAGCCTGTTCTAGGGCTCTGTCACCCTCACAGGAAAGAAGTTCYTCCTCACATGGAGATGGAACTGCCTGGATTTCAACTTGTGTCCATTGCCCCTTGTCCTGTCACAGGCCACCACTGAGAAGAGTTTGGCCTCAAAAGATGAGTTTAGCACGAGGGTAACTCTAAGTGACCTTCAAGCCTCTCTCCGTTGCACAGCACAAGGGGCTGTGGCAGACCGAGGTGCTGCCTCTGCGAGTCACTGGGCAGTCCCAGCCCCTGCCCCACTGTCACCCCACACGAAAACGGGGACGAGCTGCCGAGACGTCTCAGAAACAGTCGCCCTCGGCTCTAATCTCCAAAGCACTTTGCCTATGTCCTCTCCTCCAGAGAAAAGCACAGAAGCACTTCCCGCTTCGGCTAATCAGATAAGAACTTCCTTATTTAACTCCAACATTAAGAACTAATCTCTAAAGAGACTGCTATATTTAGCTAAGAACCTCCTGGAGGCTACTTGTTTTCTTAGGTAGCTGAAAAAAAGGTCAGCCCAGCACGTAGGTACAAGAGGGCTTTCCACACATGGAAACATCTACCAGTGTCACCACAGACAGCAACACATTTCTCCAAAGAAGCCTACAGATACTGGACAGAACATGGAAAACCACCTTTCCCTTCCTCCTGTTCCTAGAGGAGGTAAACGCGAAACTCCTTCTCCTTGCTTTGTACTCCCAGGACATTTTTCTTCAGGGTTCCCATTCCTTCTGCTCTCCTTTCTAACAAAAGACAGCRGCTGTTTGGAAACCTCAAGTCCTCCCGGGGTTCCCACACTTCTTTGAAAGGCCCAGAGAACTGAGCTTGTCATTGAACACCCTTCACAAATCACGGCCACTTTGTGGCAGATGCCGCAGCCCGAGGGATTCCAGCAGGGACTGTCATTTATTTCCATTCCCCCTACATCACTGAGCACGCTGACACTGCTTAGGAACACGAATACAAAGCCGCCTTGAGCTGCCGAAATCCTTGGAATTGTGCGAACTCTTTATATATATATATATATATATATATATATATACACACACACACACACACATATATATGCACATATATATATATGTGCGCACACTTATATATATTTTATATATATTTATATAAATATATATAAAAGAGTGCGCACATATATATATATGTATATACACACACATATGTATGTATATGTGTATATATATATTTGTATACAGTACACATACACATGTATTTATACTCAAGGCACATATACATACATAAACACACAGTACATATGCATATATACATGCACTGGCACCAGAAGTACTGAAATTTTTACATACCAGAGGTGCTTAAAGATCCAGGTTTGGGTTTAGCAAAGCAGTCAGGCTCGCTGCCCTCCACAGGACAGGCAGCTTTTCCCTGAGCGGACTGGGCCAAGCTGAGCTCTTGTCTCTTCCCTTGTTTTAAGGAGGAAGAACTACGTCATCTTCAAAAACCTCTACCAAAAACATCTTTGGATAAGCTGTTCTAATATTTATTTCACTCCACTGCTAGAAAACAGCATCCGAGTTCAAGATCGAATCTGTGTAACTTTAGCTTCTAGCTCCAAGACTACAGATTAATTATACTATATATATATAGTACATACTATATATATATAGTMTATATATATAAATTATACTATATATAATTACACTATATAATTCCATTGTTATATTTATATTCAGTGCACTTGAATAGTGATATTTTATACATTTTCAGAAGTTTCATTTCCTTCATAACCTTTGCTGCATAGTGGAAGGCAACATCTATTTATTTGCAACACACAGAGTTCGGCCCACCAGAGGAAAAACCCCTTCAAAAGGCATCACAAAAGGCACAGATTCCCACGGAAGGGTAATTGCCTCTCCCCTCAACCTCATTTGTGTAATGCAAATCCTAGTTCAATTTTGAGGTTGTTCTGCACAGCAAACTTCCCTTGTTACAAGAAAATGTATTTCTTCACCATTCGGTTCATCTTAGTTAATAAGGAGGAATCTGAAATACTGAAATCCAACTGCAATGTCAGTGTAGTCATATGGAAATAGATTCCTTAACATTCAAGAAAATAACCATTAAAGCTGTAAAACGTAGTATGGTGAGTGATGCCTTCAGTATAATCCCCAATCCCAACTCCAAGCCCAAATGAAAAATGAGCATTTATTTGCATTGCTMAAGAGAAAAGCCCAGCTTGCTTTGCTATAAAGCAGCCTTTGAACAAAACCTGCCAGTCCGTTGATTTAGCCTCGATTTAGCATCAGTGTCTTTGTTCTAAATTACCTGCATTACGTTCAAATCACAGATGGAAAATTTCAGTGAAGTAAGAGCTGCCTGCCAGAGGGACAGAAACTTTCAGTTGAATTGAGCAAGGATAAATCCATTTTCCCAGGGAACAACTAGGCTCGTCTAAAGAGCTTAGGTAACTGTTTAGGTTACACTTGAGCTGCCACATCTCACATTGWTTCCCAAATTCTTCCTGTTGCCACCTGAGGTTGTAGCCCTGGCTTTGGTGCTCTTGCCCTGTTTTTCAAATAAGGTTAATTAAAACATTTTGTAGTGAACAGACACACATGAGCTTGCATTTTACAGAACTCTTCTTAGTGTCACTGATCTATAGATCTCTCTTTCTTAAAAATGGTGCGGGAARCTCATCTGCTACTATAGTTGATAGAGTTTTTCAGTGAAGCACATTAAGCAACATCTTTCCTCCCAGAAAGAACTGGGCAGAATTTAAAACTACCTGTAGGGAAATTAGTACCTGTTTACACCAATAAACTCTTAGAGCTTGAAAAAATAACAGAAGGTTTGAGGTTGGAAGGGGCCTCTAGGGATCATCCAGCCCAACTGCTCTGCTCCAGCAGGGACACCCAGAGCACGGGGCACAGGATCTTGTCTAGGTGGGTTTGGAAGATCTCCCAGAGGAGGAGACTCCACAGTATCTCCAGACAACCTGCACCAGGGCTCTGTCACCCTCATGGTCAAGCAGTTTTTCCTCATGTGGAGATGAAACTTCCCGTGCTTCAGTTTGTGGCCGCTGCCTCTGGTTCTGTTGCTGGCCACCACTGAAGAGTCTGGTCCCATCCTCCTGATAGCCTCCCTTGAGAGACTTGCACACATTGCTAAGATCCCCGTCTCAGCCTCATTTTCTCCAGGCTAAACATCCAGTTCTCTCAGCCTCTCCTCACACGAGAGATGCTCCAGCCCCTCATCATCTTCATGGCCCTCCACTGGACTCCCTTTAGCAGCAACAAGTCCCTCTTATACTGGGGAGCCCAGAACTGCCCCCAATACTCCAGGTGYGGCCTCACCAGAGCTGAGGAGAGGGGCAGGATCCCCTCCCTTGACCTGCTGGCAACATCCTCCTGATGCAGCCAGGATCCCATTGGCCTTCTTGGCCACAAGGGCACCTTGCTACCCCATGATCATCTTGTTGTCTCCCAGGACCAACTCTGCAGAGCTGTTTCCAGCAGGTCATCCCCTCAACCAAGGCTGCAAAAGACACAAGAAGGAAGGAGTATGCAAGCARAGAGGAGAAGCCACACAAGTTTGGTTAGGCAAACTCCAACCAATGCCACAGTCAAATAATACTTCCCGGGATCACATGTAACAGCTGGAAATGCTACGTCTTCCTTTCTTTTATCTACCATTAAGGGGTAAAAAGTCATAGTGAAATCTTACTAATCTAAGGAAAGAAAAACAGACTCAAAAGTGAGGTTTTATTCATATTTGTTACTTATTCACAACCCAAAGTAAGATTAAACTCATAAAATGGCCTAGAATAATGTTAGTTTACATCACTAAATTCATGTTTTTATTGATAAAATACTGAAAGGAAAATGACAACAATCCAGGTTGAGAAAAACAGATTGGCTACTATGACTGAAAAATCTACATCATCTCAGCTGGTCCCAACTGATCGCTTGTTTTATGTTTATTATTTAAAATTAATGCAGATTACAAAATTTCAGATACACTCAGCTTCTGTGTTCATAAAATATATCTTCTATCGTATCAAATTTCAGTAGAACAGAAAGAATTTTTCTGCTGAGATATTTCATTTCAGCATATAGCAGAAGGACACTGAGAGTACTCTCCCCACCTACCTATAGAGCGATGCAACACTGCAGTCTGAGTTCCACTTTTATCTGATTTATCCAACAAACCCTTCTGGGAGCCAGTGTGCCAGTGTATCCTGACCACAGCAAAGCATTCCTCGTGCATGGAGGAAAGCCACCACCAAGCTATATCCTGAATTCTGCCCTTTGCTGCCTCTCAGACTCCAGTGCAGAAAATAAAGCAGGATTGAGCTCTGCATTTTAAGGCAAAGACAAAAGCAGATCAAACTCAAAAGGAGATGAGTACCTTTAGCTGCCACTCACTAATGAGAGCTGCAGTTGCTCACCATTATGCAGAGCTTGGTTGCACGTCCATACGGCAGGTCTTTAACACAAACATTGAGGTAAGCATTTTGCCACACTACCAGAAAAACAACTGTCAGAGAGTGAAATAACATATGCAGATTAAACAGCAATAGAGTAGCCAACAGTTTGTATGCAAATACTGCATTAGACTGGTTATATTCTCCGGACTGAAATTGTTTATTGTGTAAACAGAGGTTAGATCTTCCATTCCTTTCTTTTTTTTTATTATCATTTAATATATTTTTAAAAACAGGCCTTGCAGAACAAAGGAGCTTTACCAAATGTTAGACCTGGAATTACACAGGCTTCTATTCCAAAGATTCAAACGTTCATCTGGTAAGGAAAGAATTCTGCTCCCCTGTACGAATACACTTTTAAAAGCCTCATGAGGCAAAGCAGCAACCTGACTCACAGTCAAGAAGAAAAAAGAACATTTGGATACTGCACTGCAAAAAAAAATCATTATTTTTTAAGAAAACAAAGATAGCAAAAGTATGGCAGTAACTTCTGCTAGAGAAGAGAAAAGAAGAGTGTGTGTATAGATACATATGCACACACATAGACATATATGGCATTGTGCCTAAACAGCTGTTAGGCTTTTTTTAACTGCCAATGTTACATAAAGGGGAGGTAATGTGGAGAAAAATGTTCAAAGTAACAGCAATTTGAGGAAGTGTGCTACAGAAAACTGAAAAGGATCCTTCATGACTTCATATATACACAAATCAAGCAAAAACTTCTTCACAACATTTATACCTACAGGAACAAGAATCAAGTTTAATACTTGTGAAATGCATCTGACCGCTAGAACTGCCCTGCCTGGGTTTTCCTTCTTTACTAAGAGCAGAGTAACTGGTCTACACTGAAAAGCTGTACAGGGATTTTAATATTCACTTGTAATGTGGACATGTATTTRCTACCTACCTGAGACCTTCCAGGATTCTACCTACTGAGCAGCCAGCACCCAAGAGCTGTCACTGCTCCAGACTTTTCCAGTCTGCTCAAGCAAACAAACAAATCCCTCCGGAATCACGTGGATTCATACATTTCATCATCAGCTACACGTTTAAGTAAAAAGGTTAAATTCTACAAATCCAAACCTGTTTCCTAAGCTAAGCTAAAAAGCCCAGATGTGATTAAAAATAGACTAACTATTTCGTTGCTATCTACTGTATTTTATGGTGGGCATACCTAACATCTAAAAAAATAAAGCTAAAAATCATGTTTTCATGAATCTCAACACTCAGTCATATAGTTAACTCTCCTCCAAGACCAACAACCAGACCACTTCACAAGCAACCKAAGTTGTTTGCAAAATTAAAAGAATAAGATGCAAAGTCAGAAAAAACACTTCACACCTTATCGGTCAGGGAAGTAAAATAAAATGCTGGCTCTGTAACAGTGCAACAACTGCAGCATATTTTGCATGCAGCACAAGATTTGCTACATTTAGTGGCACTTAAGTATTACGTGGTAAATACTGCAAGTAAGACAAGCTTCCAATCTGCACAAGCAAAACCACATCATTATTCACCAGAGCTGCTAAGCTACAGCGGTCTGAATGACACCAGCTCAATTTTAATGCTTCAACCCCCAGCCTTAACGCACGGCCACGTCCTGCTTTCCGCCTTGCTAAGGTGGCCGCTGACTGTGTCCCACTCAGTGGCCCCTGCCCTCGTGCTGGGCTTCAATCCGACCAGTCGTTCTCGTCAAATTCGGAGTCGTCGTCGGAGTCGCTGTACTCCACGGCGATGCGCCGCGACAGGATGGTGGCCACGTCGTTTCCCACGGGTTCTCGCTTGGCTTCCTGCTCGCGTTGCTCCTGCACCTTTTTGAGCTGAATTCCTGCAGAGAGAGCTCTYGTCAGGCAAGATTCTCCATACAAAAAGATCATCATTCCATATTGTTAGTTTTATATTCAAGCAATGTATCAGGAAAAGAAGCAGCGAGTAAGTCAGCCTTCCTGAGCAATGAAGAGTGGTAAAGGGAAATGGACAAAGAAAGGACTAGCTGCTTCCAGTCTTGTAAAATTACCAACACTAGTTAAAATATAAAGTAGTTAAACAGTTAAACTCTGAAGACTGTACAAGTTCCTTTGATCTGAAGGACTTTCAAACTGTGCCTGGAAACACTGTAAGAACTACAGCTCAGAATCTGACTAAAGTCAGGGTCAACCACTAGAGCCTGATTAAGAAGAGCTTTCAAAGCTACATGAAATTAGGCTTTGGATAACTCAGTTTTTCTGAAGAAACCCCAAATCTATGTACTTCTAAGGCAGACTGCACATAATGAACTTAAGTATTGTCACATTTATGTTCAGACAAACACTGGAATATATTTAGCAAAGCTCCACATCTTGGATCAAGAGGCTTGAGAAACAGCTCTGAAGCCAGGGTTGACAGGACTTACTACCCTGAAAAGCAGCAGGTGTCAGAGCACGTGAGCGGTACCTGTGGTTAACTAATTCTCCCGACGACATCCCGCCTAGCTGGGAAGAGCATCCTGGCCTCAGCCCTCCGGAAAACCCAGTTCTTGCTCTGCAGAAGGGCTCTGCTCGACCTGCCCCGTGCTTACCCATGCGGATGGCCGCCAGCAGATCGCTCCGCGCGTCGCTCACGGGCGGCTGCGCCGGTTCCAGCCGCTTCCCCTCGGCAGCAGCCGCAGCAACGTGCAGCGGGGAGGAGGACAGAGAGGAAGCTGCAGCTGGGGGGCCCGGAGGAGGAGGAGGAGGGCCCGGAGGAGGAGGCGCTGTGACCACCAGCCCGCCGGGAGGAGGAGGATGAGGAGCGGCGTACGTGGAGCCGGGCACCAGCGCAGCGTGGGAGGGTGGCCCGGGGAGCTGGAGGGGACTAACGAAGGCAGTTTGTGCCGAGGGAATCATCGGTGGAGGAGGAGGAGGAGGAGGGCCCGCAGGACTGTAATAATCCACCATCTGAGCTGGAAGCATCCTAGGAAGAGAGAATTAAAAAAAAAATATGTTGCATTGAAAGTTCGGATTTACGGAACCACCATCCATCAAACCGCTCTCCAACTTCAGCTGCAACTTAAATGGAAAGAAACTTAAATTGGCCACTTAAATACATACACAGCTCTAAGCATATGGAATACCAAATAACTGAGGTAACACACTCCCATTTAAGGCAGACAACATATTTGAGGACAAGTCCTTCCCAGCCCTATCTATATATTAAACCACTCCACAAAGAAAGATTTATCTGACTATTCCTATTCCACTCAGTGTGCAGCCGTATGYTACTGAACATTACTGTGTGAGAATATTAAGCAAGTGCCTGTGATTAAGAAGGGAGCAATAAAACTACTGGACCATGAGGATCACTTCCACCAAACATRAGGCTCCAGAATAAATGTTAAGAAATAATAAATGAGAGGCATGGAGGGAAATGGAAAGCCGGAATGAAAGGATTTAAATAAATATATTACGAATCTCGTGGGCTGCTTTAATCAAGTTTGTCAATTCAAATATTCAATTAAATTGATAAATTTGATTAATACTTAAAGGAATAGGGAAGATCTGATTTATTTGGTAAAATGTCATTAACAGACTTGTTAGAAAGAATAAAAGGGAATTTGTATAAAAACTCTGAAACAGGTAAATAACTGTGGAAAGGAGACAGGGGTTACAGGGAAGATGCTAACGACATTCAATGATACCCAGTGAATCATGATGTTCCTGGGAGTTAATCATTACAATTTCTTTTATTACCTGGAAAATGTCTAGCTGGAAATAACCAAGAGGAAAGGCAGACTGGCCCAGTTCACCACAGCATCACTGTGGATCAAGGATAGCATGAAATCGTCCAGGAAAGGACAAACACTGCCYCGGGGTGCACGACGTGAGGTGGAAAAGCCTGGCCAGCCTAGCCTGGGCAAGAGGGGATACAAGTGCACTGGGGTTATAACCCCAAGTTTCAGCTGTTTAAGGAAAAGCACAATCTTGGCACAAGAACGAGTAGGTACAGACTGCTTAGAAATTGAGTCAGGAGGGAAAAGAAATGATTTCTTCTCTTCAGAGGTCTGACCAATGTTACGGAGCAAACTCTCCTTCCAAATGTCAAGTAAAACATCCACACAGTAATCTGATACATTTGTTAATGGAATTATGGAGATATATGCAGCAATAGGGAACTGGATTCAGTGTCTGAGGAGATCCCTTCCTATCCCATCACAGGCTCCTTTCCCAATGATTTCAGGGATACAATATGGAGACTAGCACATCAATTACATTCAAAGAGTCCTTCTCTGCACCCTTCTTGCAGTTTGAAATATTATCCAATTAATTATGCTGTAACTACTCTTCATTATAAAGGAAAACTGTCCTTTTTCAATATTACATTAGAAATCTTTAATATTTCATGAGCGTATTGCTTTCACTAYGTTCAATACCCAGTTCATAATTTCTCCTTTCGCCAGTTCAGCTCATGCCTGAAGATTACATGAAACTCCCTCTGTTCTCCTCAGGGAGGTAACTAGAGGCACTCGTTATTTGTGCACCACGCATGCACCACACATATTGGTTTTTATGGCAAACACACGTCCTTCTAGCTTGCCGGGGACGCCGTGGAGTGAACGAGGAGCTGAGTTTTACCCGTACTCTGCCGGCAGCAGCGGGGCTGCGCTGTGCTGGCCGTCGGGGGGCTGTGGTGGAGGTGGAGGTGGCTGCTGAGGCCTGTTCAAGGCGGCGTGGCGGGCCGTGCTCGAGGGCGGCCTGTACTCGTGCTCGTGGCTCGGCGCTGCTCCCGCGTACTGCGGAGCGTCTCCTGCTCCATAGGCAGGCAGGGCCATCTGCTGATGCAGGGAGTGATTCGGAGTGGCGGGGTACGAATAATCGGTAACATCAGAGGCATGGGACCTGAAATTAAAGGAAATTGGTGCAAAGGACACATTATATGAGGGTGGCAGGATATTATCTAAATAGTCACCAGTCAAGCTAAGAAAGGAATCATTTTTCTTACTCCCGCACCATGAAGCACCGTTCCCCTGTCAGCCCACGGAAGACACAACAGCAAAAGCAACACAAAACCAGCGTTCAGCTTCACGCAACGTGAAAATAAATTAGTGTGACAAACCAGCACCGGGGCCTGGAAGTGAACAACTGCAATATCTCGGCATGTTAACTCTGCAGCAGAGTGTCCTCTTAGAGCACACAATTTAAAAAGAAAAAAGAAAGAGCTTTCCCTGGGTTTTAGACTTCTTTAGTAGTCACAAGGAAGCATGAGGGATGGTTTTAACAGACCTTTGTTTGCAATGATCAGGTTGCAATGATCAGATTTATCAGGTTGGCCGTTAACAATGACAGCAGAAAAATTACAACAACACTGCAAGCACTCACAGTTATGCAGGAGATTATATCTCACCAAAGCAGAGAGCACCAATTCCACCAAGGCAGAGAGGATCAATTTTGAAAGTTAGAAACTGCTTTTGATTTTGTTTGCACAAATAGTTTGGTCACAAAAGCTTGGAGAAACGGAGAGATGTAAATATTAGTGGAGCAGAGAGTTCATAGAGATACAAAGTCTAGGATGCTCTGTCAAATAAGCCCAAGAGAGGGAGCAAAAGGATCTCTTCACCCCATCACTGCACAGAGCTRTACTGTATTAGTAATAGACAATCGTGCAGCCTGGCTTTTAGTGAGCAGAGAAAACCGATGCACTTATCTGCRAGCCTGGAAGCAGGGCAAGCAACAAAAGGCCAGGGCTTTGAGTAAAACAAAGTGACAAACCCTTGGGGCATTTTGTCCTCTTTCATGCTTCCTGCCTGCTCCATTTTCTTTGCGTCACTCATGAACTCAATGCCCATTTTCCTTCTCTCCCACTCTTCTTTTCTTGTTCTTACTTTTCGCACATTAATTTGCTGGTGTCTGTCTGGATTCAGCTTGTGTTTCTCCCTCTGAAGTGCAATAAGTATAACAAATACATTGTAAATTGCCACAGGCTGGAAACTTTGATTTCAACCTTCAAAGTCATCAAACTAGGAGGAACTGGAACATAAAAAATCATGATATAACTGCAGACATTTCCTTCGGTCCTCATTTAAAACACAATGCTCAGGCAGTAGCTGTCACATAAGAACGGCTCCGAAAACAAGTCTTGCTTCTGCACATCGTGCTCTTGAGGCTTTTTATAGCTTAGTTCCTACAATGAAGACTACGTCAAGATAAAAATAGAAAATCTTTCTTCACTAGTCACAAATTAAAAGCTCTTGATGCAAGTAAAACACAGACTTCAGGGTTCAATCCTTGGTATTTGAGCCACTGTAATTTAAAATCCCTCACATATATAAACCTCAGAAGTTTCATAATAAGTACAATATGTCTGTCACGCCATGAAATTCGGAGCCAATGTAACGACACATCTTTACAATTCCTGCTTAATAAAATGTTACACATCACAAATGTTATGGCTGTCTGCAAATAAGCAAACATATTTCTGACACTGTGGGGAAATAAAAAACCAAATCGCTTCAATGTGACTATTTCCAGTAACGCAGGAACCCTGGAAGCAAGGTGTTAAGACCAGAAAAAGACTCGAAATGTCTGAATAGCAGAGCTCAGAGATGAATAAAAAATCCACATCAGGAGTTTGATAGCTGGACACCAATGTCATCTTAGCAGAACAGCTTTCGGAGAGCAGCCTTAATGAAGCCTTGGAGACTAACAAATAGGAGATTTGCATTAGAAAATACAGCTCACTGACAGTGAAGTATTTCAAACAGAGGATGAATCTGGACATAGTATTGAAACAGCAGTTGGAATTTCCTTTAAAATTACTGCTTTAACTACAGGACAAATATTGTTCAGAGAGACTGAAATATCAGTTATAGAAAGCTCTGAGCAGGTCTTCTTCTAGAGAGGGTCCAGTGGAGGGCAACAAAGATGGTGAAGGGAATGGAACATCTCTCGAACAAAGAGAGACTGAGCCAGTTGGATCTGTYTTCTCTGGAGAAGRYTGAGAGGGGATCTGATTAAYAGGTTTAAGTACATGAAGGGGAAATGTAGGGAGGAAGGGGCCGAACTCTTCTCAGTGGTGGCCAGTGACAGGACAAGGGKCAATGGGTATAAGATGAAACCCAGGCAGTTCCATCTCCATGTGAGGAGGAACTTCTTCACTGTGAGGGTGMCAGAGCCCTGGAAGAGGCTGCCCAGGGAGGCTGTGGAGTCTCCTKCTCTGGAGATCTTCCAAACCCGCYTGGCTGCCGCCCTGTGCCCCGTGCTCTGGGTGTCCCTGCTGGAACAGGGGGTTGCACTGGRTGATCTCTAGAGGTTCCTTCCAACCTCRGCCATTCCGTGATTCTGTGATTCTGTATTTTCATTAATGTCAGGTGGACACTAACGGTATCAGTCTACCCCTTTTGCAACAGTGGCCGTTTCCTCACTCTAACTAGTCAGCAATTTAAATACAAATTCAAAAATAGTGAAGCATTTTTCCCTCTAGATTCTGCTTATTCCTCACACTTCAGCAAGGCATTAATCCTAATAAAAAAAAAAAAAACAGAATAAGAGRAAAAAGAGGGAAGGCTCTAGAGAGACGGGCTCGGTGCATGGACTWGGACGTGCAGGCCAAGAGGGAGCTTCTCCCCCCGAGCCCAGAGAACCTCAGGCACGTCTGGGGAGGACACGATGGAGAGCGGCCCTGCCGTGTGTCTCTAAGTGGAGCTGCCCCTCGGAGGAACCTGTTCCAGGCAGGAACGATGCCTGGGATCGGCAGCGACGTCGTGGCAAGGCCCACATGGACCCACGGGGGCTCCTCCAGGGCGTCTGCCTGCACCCGTCACCCCAGCCGTCCCCGGTGCACTTGCTGGGCTAAGGGAAAACATGGGAAGATCCCAGAGGGCCTCAATCCTGCAGTGATTCTGTCCCCGTTCACAGGAACGTGTTTACTAAGCTCTCACCAGCATGACATGCGACAAACCAGAGCTGAAAGGGTACTGGTATTACCTGAGTAAAGACAGATTTAAATCCTACTGCGTCTAGAGCTAGTCTGGATCAAACAGAAAGCGTATGTCAGACACTGCTGTGAAATAAGGGTTAAATTATGATAACGGCACACTCATCTGAGACAGAGGAAGAAAAAAATTAGATTAATTACATAATTAATTATATATGCTTTAAAAGAATTATGACAAGCGCTGTAAAACATTTATGGCATATTCTTCTATTACGACTGTGACATTCCCAACCTATGAAACCACCTAAATCTACTCAGTATTTCTGAATGTACAACTGCAGAGTAACGAAGGGCTTTATTGTGCACAGACCTAGTATCTGGGGACACGGATCCCTCGGAAGATGCTCCGTGGTACACACTCTGGGACAACCTGTGGTCAGGTCTAAGCTCTTTGTCATACGCCATCATATTCCACTCCTGGCGTCTGTTCCTGGCTTTTCTAACCTTTTTCACCTCACGAGTGGTGCCATCTATACGTTTTTGCTCCTGATGTTCAAACAAAAGAAATACAGCATGCAAAGAGAGAGAGGAAAAAAAAAAAAAGAAAAAAGAAAGGAAAAAAGCAGGTTAAAACGCAGTTAGAGTGCATGAAAATAAGACTAGGCTTACAGACGAAGACGAGTTTATGTAATTTTTTTTTTACACTAGAAAGGATTCCTTAAACTATGAACTTCATTCAGACGTAAGACTATTGCMTTGTCCTTTTCTGTAAGATGGAGATACTAGTGTCATACTGATCTGCTATTTTTCCCCAATACAGACAGAACTCATTGATTTTAAAAGTTAGAAAGCTTTTTGCTATTTATTTAGACTATGCTGAACGGTTTTTAAATTCTCCTGCAAACCAGTGTTATAAGAACATGTTTAGGCCCTGGAAAAACGTAAAGGAAATGACAACACCATCCAATTCATTTCCAATTCTGTGTGAAATGAGTTTCACTGTTCTAACTTACTCTCCCTTCTGAGATCTGSTGAACAGGATCCCAATTCCTCCCTGTTGCTCCTCACTCTTGTTCCCTGTTTTCTTATACAAAAGGCACGACCCTCGTGCTCTCTGCAACGTGCTGGTAGTACTTGGGGGACATATTACAGCTGGAGAGCTTCACAACAAACCAGCTGGCTTAGTTTTGAAATCTTTCCATAAAATTTCAAGCCCAATGAATGTCAGTGTATAATAATAATAATAATAATAATAATAATAATAATAATAATAATAATAATAATAATAATAATGGGATTCAATATTATCTCTGAAATGTCTTCCACACTCTCACCCTGACTACTCAGTCCAAATAAAATGGTACTGATGATGCTCAAACTCAACAAGGTATTTATGTGCTACCCCCTTTCACAATATCCACAAGGACCTTGAATTGTCTGCTGGTCCTAGGACCCACACCTTGCAATACTACTTAATAAATAGGAGATTTTTTTTCTATTAATAATTTATTAGACTTTTGACTGTTAGAAAAATATGTTTTTTTGAAAGAGAATTGCATTCCTCCCTAGGAGCTGTAGTCATATTCAACTGTATTGAACAAATAGTTCAGTAAAAGGTCAATATTTAAGCTTTTCCTCTTTGGAACTCTACCTTCACAGTAGGGCACAATAGCTAGAAAGGTCCCACCAAAAAAAAGGAGGAAAAAGGTATGTCATATGGACGAACATAAACTGTTTCCTGCAACTGATAAATAATACTAAAATAGCTCATTTGGCTTTCCATTCTTTACAGTGAATCATTTTTGATACCATGAGTGTCAAGCAAGAGCCATTACCCTGGTTCTTTATTTCCACCTATTCATTCTTTCTCCTTCCCAAACTTCTTTTARCGTCACCTTCCTCTGTGCTCGGCTCAGGTCGTGTTTTGCTGTCTCCTTTAATACCATTTCTTCCCATCAAAACTTCCCAATGTAGGAGTGGGAGCAGAAGGGAAACAGATTCAGTCCATTTCATTTTCAGTGTGTGAAGTGTGGCTCATTCCCATGGCTGAATACATGCATGCTGAGTGCTAGACACCATCTTCATTTCATCACTGCACAATTTGATTTATTTTAATTTCTGACTTTTAGCCTGGTTCACTTATTTAGATATCACCACCTACTCATCATGGATTTGAGAGGAAAGTACTAACAATCCCTTATTAACTGCAAGCAGGCTTGAGCTTTTCTCTCACAGATTACCTCTCATATTCATTAGGAGCAAGTATTTCTTATAAGTTTGTAGAAAAAGTAAATATCAGCCCTTTCAACAAGGTACACTGCTCTCTGGAAGACAGTGATTCCAATATAATTACTGCACAACTGGCAGTCCTTCTGTGACTGCTTATATKCAATCACCTATTAAGATATTTCTAAGCGATTACTTAGAAATAATTATCTAACCTATACATGCATGCACAAAAACATGCAGGTATACAAACAAATAAATATGCCCTTTTTACTTGAATTGTACCTCACTGTACTTTTAAAACTTATTTTTAACCTACTTTTTGAAATTTTTTAATTTTTTTTTTGTTTAATACTATATAAAGACATCTCTAAAACACTTCATTTCTTCCACAATAACGAGACAGGCCTATTACTAGCAGCATAAAAAAAATTAGAGAAAATGCCTCTAACAAATGGTTTTATCTTTTTGCAGTAACTGCAAAGTTTTGTTTTTATTAGCACTTGTAGAGCGGACAAATAATTAATTAGCTTGGGAAAGAAAAGTGACAGCTCCAGTTTTAAGCACCTAGGGCAGTGACAACAGAGTCCTAGGGGAGCTGACGCCTTTAAAATTAACTAAGAGTAGAAATGCCTTTCTTTGGAAAGCTAGAAATAAAACATTTATTTCCTTTTAATTGCCAGGTGATAGAAGCTGCAGTAGACAAATGGATGCTGTAAGTTAGGCTGGAAAGGAGGAATATTCAGCTATGGGCAGGAAATGATTTCAGGAAACACAGCAAACGGAGTTAGAGCCATCCAATGGGTAAGTTGATTTTTACATGTGCACCAAGAGTTAGCAAATTATATTTAAAGCATCTTAATAAAGAATAACAGCTAATAACAGCAAGTAGCTTCAGCAAGTATTTGCAGTGCTTTCGAGAAACTCCAAGTGTGAGGCTGGTGTTTCCCTGACCTCCCTAATCTCCCATTCCACCGTTCACAAAGTCATCAAGATTGACTTTTGAAATCCAAGTATACAAAAACCTCCATATATTTTTAACTAATTAAATAACTGCAAACATTTCTCAGGAAAAAAACCAAAGGTGTGTGTGTGGACTATACAAAACAAGGTGGAGCCTCTCTGTATTGGCCAAGAGCTGCTCTAAGGTTATTCAGTTCCTAATACTGCTGGTTTGTGTAACAGCCTAAACCAGCTGCACTGACCTACTGAAARGTTACCAGTGAAGAATAATGAAGACTATCCCATAATTTTTAAATTTATAGAGAATTAAAATTATCATTTWCTTTGGAGAAAATGTTCACCTGAAAGACTCCAATCAAAGAAAGTCTGTATCAAATTTCTCYGGTCAATATGAATACTGAAACTAAAATAAATGAGTTACTTGAAGGTGAGGGAATGWAACATCCCACAAATTTCTTGTTGCTCAGGCAGTTAAGGCAAGGAACAAAATGGCACCAGGAAACAAATCCTGAGGCAAGGAATGTCCTTAACCTTCACTGACCACACAAGAAGTCGAAGCTAAAACCCAGCTCTGTTTGGTCAGCTGGGCTGGACTGCATTTGGATGCCTGGTTTATAACACTCTGAACAATCCCTCTGCACAGTATCTTCATAATGTGGTGTTTTGTGCTCCTCTAAAATTGTTGGAGGAATTACCAGCTAGGAGATTCAAAATGTAACCTCAGCACCCCCAAAATAATAAAAACCATAACAAATGCTGCAGACTTGTGACCAGTCAATGCTCTTGTAAGGACAAGAACAAAAGAAACRGAGAGTCTCCGAAGCAACGGATGGATCTGAGGGTGTCCATGAGATGCTTCATGTGCCTCCTCCGGCTCTCTGAAGCCTCCAGATGGGAACATGCCAACCTGCTCACAAGCTTGCAAGTCTGCAAAGCTAAACCACCTATTTCTACCTACCAGATAAACTCACGTCTACCCATGCAAATTCTGTTCTTTGCTAGGGGTTTGCATGTGCAGTTTGCACTTAACCAAACTTTATACAATTGGGGTTGAGAATACTTATTAGCTGAAGCGGTTTCATAAAAAAATCTCTCTAATCTAATCTCTCTAATACTATCTACCTATATATTACATATTTTTACATAGAGAAACAATGAATGAAATTAATAAAGGAAAAACTAAACTGGAGAAAAAAAGCTGGTTTAAAATTTGTCATAGCTGGTTCCCAACTTTYGGTCACGTCTATGACATATGACACTGAGAATATAGTGGAATTATAACTTTTCGTTACAAATTGGTACACAATTATATCAAAAAAGCAAATGAATATTTCCTAATATTTTGCTTCACAATGAGTTATTTTTTCTAATGAAAATGTTTACTCAGCTTTTTCAGTTCAATTTTGTATTTCGATACTGAGATACCTTTGTAAAAATGGAAAATTTTTAAATAGAAGTTCAGTAAATGCTTTGGTTAAATCAAATCTTTWTCTTTTGCTTAAAATGCTGCAGCAGAGTTTTGCCTAGCAACAGCAGGAAGGAACAATTTTCACTTAATAAAACCACAATATTAAAGCTTCACCGGCACATTCTGTATTTTGATTTCTAGGCAGGCATCATGTACATGAGCATATTCATATTTAGCATATACCACAAAACTAAGCTCCTGTCTTCTAATTCCTTTCAGCAGCCTGTTCACCTTGTCTGGAAACCTTTTATTTTTGAAACTTCTGCTTCTCACTGAACCTACCCAGAAGGGCAGCTGCCTGTCAGACTAGACAGGCACTTGTTGCTTTGTCAGGTTTCCCTACTCCCTTCCTCTTAGGATTATCTCCTAGAATCTTGTGGCCCTGTAATGTTTGATAAAAAACAAACAAACAAACAAACAAAAGTTGCAGCAAAAAAGCTGCAGAAGTACCCCAGTAACRTTTTTTATTCAAAATTAAAATCTATTTTTAAAAGTATCTGGACAGCATCAGAATAAATCTCTGATCAAACTGCTCAACAGACTGCAGAAGGACTAAAGATATTCTTTCTATGAAAAATCGTTATCTTTTTTGTATCGATATATATCTATATAAAAGAATATTTCTCCTGTAGTACATCTGTTCTGTTGCTGAACTGCAGAAAAAAAAATTCCTACCTGTTATCTATTACTATCAGGTTGAGAAAAGCAAAGCTATTTTAAAAGAATTAAAATTCTAACAATAAACACATYGCTGAGTAAGTTCATGTTTTGTTACAGGAGTTGATGTTGCTGGATAAAAAGTTATGAAAATAAAGAAAACCGTACTTAAAACTCTTTTTTTTTTCTCTAAATCATACTTTTTTTTTCTTTTAAGAAGAGCAGGGCTACTTTGCTAAATATTAATAAGCAGATACTGGCAAGGGATTAAAGAAGTTATGTTGAAAGATAACTACATTCATCCTAACATTCAATTTGCCAGCTCCTTAAGAGAGACAGTAGGAACTATAAAAACTGAACCAACTATAACATCTACAGCTATATCTAAAGAGGAATTGCCTTTCCAAATATATAAACCAAGCATTTTTTGTATAAACCTAGCAATTTTCCTGCCTGAAAGCATAAGTGTACCTGAAGCATAAGACATGTATTTTCCATCATATTTTTGCTTTTACCTTCTGTCTCCTCTTCTCTTTCCGCTTATCTTCAGTATCTTGTAACATTTTTTCTTTCCAAAGATCAAAAAAATAGGAGGGATCAGTATAGAACTTCAATCCATCTTTCTTATCATCCCTGCAAATACAGCAGAACGCAAGCTAAAATTATATGAATTATTAGTTTTAAACATTTTTTTTTTATCTTTGAAGACCAATTAAGCTTCACCTTTTTTACTACAGGAAGACAATAAGGCAAGTACTAAATACCACTAGATACCACTCCTTCCACCTCTCCACCTTTGGTCAGACTATAGTTTAAGGTTAGTTTAAATTCAGCGTTTGCTTCACCATAACGGAGACAAAGCAAACACAAACAATTTAAATTCAATAGATCTAAAGGATGCACCAAGAAATATAACTTAAATTAAGTATATCTCACTAGTGGATCCCTAATAAAACTGGAAAAACACATTAAAGTACACTGCAGCTGTTATCCAGATATATATTAGGACATAGCTGCACAGAATAGTGCACTGATAAACAACTTGTATTAATTGGCCATCCATAAAACATAAAATAAAATAAAATAAAATAAAATAAAATAAAATAAAATAAAATAAAATAAAATAAAATAAAATAAAATAAAATAAAATAAAATAAAATAAAATAAAATAAAATGTTTGGAAAGAGCAGGGAGAAAAGTATACTTCAATTGTAAATCAATTTTTCCTTCCAGTAAAAGCTGTAGAAAAATACTCTGCAAACACATCCCTACGTCATTCCTAAAACATTTTACACATAAGTTACCGCAAATTAAGTCCATGTTTTRCACAGATACCTCATAAGATAAATATCAGGCTTACTACTAAAGCCATAAGGAACGTTAATTATACCTATCTTCTTTAGTCTTGCTAACTAGTACCTCCCCAAATACGAGAGACMGAGTGAAAACATGTTCATAGCCTTAAGAAAGACAAGCAAGACTAATTCTACAAGCAATTATAAAATTTAACAGAAACCAGAAACCAGAAAAAGAAGTGTGGTTGCTGCTGTTTTCATCACCAGTTAATAGCCGGGAAAAAGAAAGGTAAAGTGTAGGTGTGGGTGAGTGCATGCAGCACACAGCAGGAGGGAAGAAAAGGCAACAAAATAAGGCTTTCAAAATAAATAAACCACAGGCAGGGTTATTTACTGTATTATTAAACTTCTTTACACGTCTTACGTAACAACTAGCACTTGCCTTCAGCTCCTCTGCTGCCATGTGATATTATTATKATGCTGAAATATGATGACTTTTGTTAGACTGGGGGGTTAGATGCATCTTATGATTGGAAGCATGGTAATAACATTTGTTTTTATGAACAGAGAAATCACTGAAATATTCAACAAGCCAAATCTCCATAACTAACCCAGCCTCTTCCCTTCTGCTGTTATCATTCTTCACACACAGCAAAGAGATAAACAGCCAAGTCCAAGAATGTATGCAATTAATGTTTCCATACCTATAAGGCGAAAGAATATTCAGAGGAGGTGGTTTGTCACTCTGATTATAAATATCAGCCACTGGATTAGGAATGCTGTTCTTTGAAACTACCTGCTGGTCTTGAACTGTAGAGCTCTTAAATGCTTTTTTCATGTTGATATCTTGCAATGATACTATTAGAAACAAAACCAGATTCATCATAGGTCAGAATTTTCATAAATGAAAAATAAAATGAAAGATATTTTCAGCAAAATATTTAAAAACAAAATACAGCTTTAACTTTCATAATCATATTTAAGAACATCAGCACGTACATATACAGAAAGAGAAAAACAGTGTTCAATACACATATTTTTATTGTATTGTTCACGAGCATGATTCTGGGACAAGCTAGGCTGTTCAAACTTTCTTCTCAAATGAAAGATTTAAATTATTTTTCTTTGTTCCTGAGACTTTCAGTTMATCTTTCCTTCCTTTTTAATATGATTCTCTTGGAATGGAGTGAGCGTAGCTAAAGAAGGTCCTGATAATGCTAATCCCTGATGTAAAAGTGGCAGCAAGTTCTCTCCATGTTCTCCAAGTTCTCCTCCTCTTTTGGGCAACGTGCATGAGTTTTGCATGGAGGGCAACAACGAGCTCAAGTCTTTGCTGACTTGTCTACAACTTCTTGAACGGTTACAGCTTTTGGGAAGACACTAACTAAGTCAGTGGAGTAGTACACACATTTTCCTCCCAAATACCCTATATTGCTATTTCATSTAATAGCACATCTAACATCAAGTCTCCAGAACAAATTGTGAGAATTTAGAATATTAACTGAACAATAACAGGCACAAAGTTAACGTACGAGTGATGCATAAAAGGAAAGGAAAGGGCATCAAGTTTTCTGTCRATCCTAAAAAATACCCTGCTAGCCTTGGTCATGATGAAGCTGAAGCCCACTGAGACTACTCTCCCAAATAGCTCTTAGATATGTGCTAAGGCCCTTGCAAAAACACCTAAGATTCCTGAGCATCTTCAGAATGATTAAGAACTCGAAATAGAATATTTTATTTCAAGTTCTCCTTTCCCTATCCAGTTTCTCTGAATAGGAGAAAGCCATTCCTCACAATTAATTTCTGGCTATAAGTGAACAAGACAGATAAATACAGGCAGTTTTTCAAGAGTACTTCTTTSCACTCTTAGGTTTTCATTTGAAGGAATACATTAAAGAGAGCATAGATTCAACTTTTAAGGGGATTAAAARTGGTTTTTATATGCTTTTGAGATATTAATTTGAATTATTTATTTTAAAAAACGTCAACTGCAGTACTAGTTATGGGAATTTGCTAGGAATGTTGGAAATCACTGATGCAACTAAATCTAAAAGTTTTTTTCTTTTTTAATTGGCCTAGCAAGTTATTTTTTACTTAAATGACTAAGCTACCTAGAAATACAAATTCAGAACTACTGACAACCAACCTGCAATGAATTATTATAAATTTTTTGATTTCTAGAGCCAAATGGATAATTAGCTTTCCTACTGACAGCAAAGTCACATCAGTTTGTATATATAGCATGCTAATTTGAAAGGCAATTAGCAACACAGGAAAAATAACTGAGGTTAACTTAAAAGATGTTATGAAAAACGTTCTTCATGTGTTTCTCCCTCCAAAAGATTGTTTTTAATAACTCACTGAAATCCAGAAAATAACCAAGTTATTTTACAATTACAATTGAGAGGTTAAAAACAAAATCAGCACACATACAAAAACCCAAGCTCTATGGGGAATAGTAYTTGTAAAAATGTTCTGTTTCAAGGTCAGGAGAACTGACTTCATCCAGTCCAACAYGGAGCAAGGCCAGTAGGAATATAATCTATTTTGCTCATGTTACCACCACAAGGTGCTTCAGAACTCAAGCTGAACAGCAGYTCAGTAACAGCTAATTTTCTGCCCCATGTAGCTCTTGGTATCTTTTCTAAGATGGCAAAAAAAGGGTGCTAATATCAACCATGGCACTCTACATTACCACTTAAAATTTTTAAAAATAGGATAAAACAATCACCATGTAATGACATTAAGTCAAAAAGAAACTAGAAAGGGAAAGCTAAATATTACACTACTAAATATTAATGACAACAGAAATTGTGAGAATATAAGCTATATAAAGTAATTAAATATATTTAAAATAATATGATTAAATATTCATAATAAATATGGCACCACTCCCTTGATTTAATGCTCCCGGAGAAATGCTACTAATACAGCTTGCTACCAGCCTATCCTGAAAAACCATTCTAATATCTCAAACTTTTTTTTTTCTGAATTTACGATTTATTTTTATTACGGTCCTGATTTACTCACTTCTGAWTTAGTACACTTACAGGTTAAAAGTCTGTCCTGTAGAAAAGGTAACTTAATGAATTCTTGATGGCTTCTTGAGCAAATATTAATTCAAAAGTGAAGACAGCTACATGACCAAACAACATTTTTCTCAGTCTGCTACCATGATATTTTCCAATCATCTTACTAAAAAAGCAGTATTAAGTATCAGCTCAGAATTACTTTGAAAAGACAGAGATTGGTGTCTAATTAAATACTGTGGTCTAGTCAACATCATTTTTGACTCAAAGCTTTCATGCAATTACATACCCTCTTCTACTGTTGAATCCAGCTGGGTAACTTTGACAGCAAGGCGATCAATCCTGTCTTGAAGAGAATTTGCTCTGATGTAAAAGCTGTTGGCCTCATTAAACAACTCACCAAATATGTCTTCGGCATGTTTGCCTATAGGGAAAAATAGGCAGTGAAATTCCTTTGTTAAAAACTTATAAATATACATGAAATGACTTCAGTTTTARAAAGTTAAAATAAAATACCCTACGTAATAGATTATAACAACATAGCCCTTCATTCAGCAAAATTCTGGGCAATAGATTCAGACAAAATCTCAACATACACCCTAAAATTTGACTCAAAGCTATTTTCTTGATCATCTTGATTGGCTTTCTACTTAAAAACAAGGAGGTTTTAACATTTTAATCCTTCATTAGCAGAGCTGCTGCCAGCAGACATAAAACTATCACTAAAATCAATCTCAATGGCTAAAAGAAAGACCCAAAGACACTGCTGTCTTTAATAGCTTCTGAAGTTAATTCTGAAAYCTAAACCTAAAAATCCATATTGCTAAGATTGATGTAATAACAGGCATAAACTTAAGGTCAACACTTGTGTCTCGTTCACTCCTCCTTCTACCTAAATGTTGCTGCTTCTCACTTCATTGCAGATCTCTCCCTCCACAACTGAGCTGCTTCCTGTAGCCAACATCCCTCTTACAACATCTACCTGCTTTTACATCTCTATGCAAAAGGAAAATGCTGCCTTTAGCATCTAACCAAGCTTTCAAAATTAGGACAGAGTCTAAAACCCTGTCTATGAGTTGGCCTTATCCTGATATATGAACTACAGAACAAGAAGCCAGAAGAGCAGAWATACAGGAGAGGGAAAATGACCTTTATCTTATATCTGAGACAACAGGCAGTTATATATTAACCAGTTAATTCCAAAATAATATTTACATTGAAATTTTAAATTTAGTCCTGTAACCAACCATAACACTTTAGATGGATAAGTACAGATATAGTGAGAACTTTGGTCAAAATYGCACCCTTTGAACACCTGGTGATCATAATGCAAAGTAAAGTTTATCCACATTTCACAATGTAACAAGATATTCCTCCTTCTTGGATTATTATTTGGGAAAARCATCCATTAAAAGAGCATCTGAAAACACTGTTTCTGAATTCAGAGTCAACGGAAATGCCTTTTAAATTTAATGGGACTTTCTCATTTCGAAGTGGAGAACTTTTCCAGTAAGGGATTCTCCACTAGATGCAAAACCAAGCTGAAAAGTCATCCAACAGCTGAGGTGCTCTGGTGTGGGGAAGCTCTGCTTTGTACATACGTGGAAGGGAAAGGTGTCCTGCCACCTCCTCCCAGCCTCCTGTCCCTCGAAAGGCCCTGCCACTGACTGGGATTCAGCTATAATCCTTATTTGATTTAGCTGCTACAAACGAAGAGGCTTTTGTCTCCAAGCTGGGGAGCAAGTAAGCTCTTTAATTCTACAGCTAAATCCAGCAGGTATTGCATTTTTCAGCCWCCACTGTTCAGAGCTCAACAAACCTTAATGGATTTTAGTTCACATTAATATCTAGAGAGCAGCATGTCRAGCTGAGGACTGCAACAATCCAGGATGTCACGGAGGGCAGAGGTGCTTGCTGCTTATCATACAGAGGTTAAAATAAGTAAGTAAAGTTGATTTTATATATCCTTTAAATACTGTTTTTCTGTTCTGTGTTTTTGTATTTTTTAAGGGAAGGACAGACAGTTAGTTTCCTGTCAGTCAAGGAAGCCATGGCATGGTACAGCCACGCTATTCACATTAACAGGAACATTTCAATTTTAGAAGAAAATAATGCTTCTCTAGGGTTCTCTGTATTATTACCTTTGAAATTAGATTTTTAGGAATACAAAAACAGGCAGAAAAATAYTTTAAGTCCATTTAAGTCCGTTTTAAGATCCTATTTTTCAGCTTATGGAATGACTAGTCAGGGTAACGCCTGCACATATCCCTGCCCCCCCTCGGTCCTGATGTCAATTAGCAGCAACGCCTCTATCTGGCACTTCCACAGATCACCTTCATGGGACTGTGGGTCTGACTGCCTGCAAAATCCATTTCCAAGCACTGAGACACATTTCCGGAGACAGCATTTCACAAATAATTGAAATCACAATAGTGCTTCTCACATAAACACACGGAACATCACTTACAACACCACTTACAGCATCCCTAGTAGAGACTAGACACAATCTGAATTAATTACTATTGATTTTCACATACTGCACAAAAAGATCTGCATTAACACTCTGAACATATTGCCCCAAAGCTATCTTTAAACAACAGTCAAAATACTCAGTGCTGCAACAGAAAATAAATCAAACAGAATGTTTACAGAATGGTTAAGGTTGGAAGGGACCTCTAGAGATCATCCAGTCCAAYCTTCCTGCTCCAGCAGGGACACCCGGAGCACGGGRCACAGGGTGGCRKCCAGGCGGGTTTGGAAGATCTCCAGAGAAGGAGACTCCACAGCCTCCCTGGGCAGCCTGTGCCAGGGCTCTGGCACCCTCACAGGAAAGAMGTTCTTCCTCACATGCAGATGGAACTTCTTGTGTTGTAGTTTGCACCCATTACCCCTTGTCCTGTCACTGGAAGAAGCGCTTGGCCCCTTCCTCCTTACATTCCCCCTTCATGTACTTGTTAATCAGAATCCCTCTCAGCCTTCTCTTCTCCAGGCTAAACAGGCCCAACTCACTCAGTCTCTCCTCATGCGAGAGATGCTCCAGTCCCTTAATCATCTTTGTTGCTCTGTGTCTCACCACGCTTACGAGCAAGGGATGCAAAAGCCCCCAGGCTTCCCACACCGCAGAGTCCCTTCTGCTAAGCAGAGGCAAAGCCCCAGGTTCACCCTTTGCATTATATAAAAGAGGGGTAGCTCTGCACAATTTCATACAGCTCCTTGCTCACGCTGCCTGTGCTACAAGCCAGCTGGCTGCGAGCAAACCCAAATCCGAAGACGTGGCCAAAAATAAAACCCCAATGACAGCGCATTGCATTTGCAGRGGAACTTGCTCGTGTCTCCTGAAAAGAGCAGAGACGGAAGCAAGCCAAATTTGTACGCAGCAGTTGGATCTGCCACGTTCCCAGTCCACAGGATGCAATAGTAAAAAGCCGTGTGTTACTGGAAGGCAGAGCTGGGCTTGCTGTCTGTGCTCGGGTGCTCCCAGCAGGACAYAGGACATGAGCATTTCTCTGTCAAAACAAGAGTTTTCTGCAAAAGCTGGGCAAACACATCAGCTTGTACCGAAAGACTACAGTCTGCTGGCAGACTTCACTCWCACGTTGAAAACCATCCATACAAATGCTCGAGCAGAGGACACGTCTTTTATTTGCACAGATCTTTAACTTGGCACTAACAATGTGTTCGGGTTGTCTGAAGAGATGTCTGATGGRCTGTGGAATCTACTACAGGAAAACAGGAGGACACAAACTGGGCRAGGAGCCAGTTCCTCAGCCACAGGCACGAGAGGATCTGAATCTGCAACTAGTGCTTGGATCTGTCCCAAGGCCCAACCTGCAGAAAGGACAGCTGGGCATTCCTAAGGGATTTAACAGGGCGAAGAAAGCCAAAGGGGTATCCATATTTTGGTAAATGTTGTAAAACATCCAAAAAGAGGTTTTATCAGATATTCCTGGCTGAATGTCAGAAGGAGATACTAGCCCTGCTCTCAGAGCTTCCCGAAACTTGAAGGAGTATGTCAGTCCTGAGCAACTTACTGATAAGATGGTACGAAGCTCTACACACCAACTATCTTATCTTTATTGATCTTTAGATGCCARATTAGCTAACTCAAGAAAGATCTGAGATTCACCTGGAAGCTCCTCTGAGAATTCAGCTCAGTCTCTATCTGTAATCAAAAATCAAAGCTTTATAAGTTCTAACTAATGACAAAACAGAAAATGTCACTGTGACACCTTATTCTGTGTATGATGCAAAGTCCTCAAACTCCACCTCAATTAAAAAAAAAAAACCTCTAACTTAAAGATCCAACGCCAAATTAGCCATGAGCAGGAATGCATAGCAGGTTTCTATTCAAAAAAAAAGGGCTTTTTAATAGATCAGGAAACTTCAGCTTAGAAGAGATATCACTAGTAGAACATGGTAATGCTTTATAAAATCACAGATATTATGGAGAACTGCAAAAGAAAACTACCTTTCATTGCTTCTCATACACAAGAACTAGAAGGAACTGAAAGGAAGCAACAGAAGAACTTACATTTGGTGACACTCTGCCACACTGACCACCAGCACAGACCACGATGGCTGCATGTTCAGCACTCTCTAAGGAAATCTTTCTTTTTCACTGCAAAAATACTGGGTTTTTCTTTGCAGACACCCAAGGCCCATTTCTAGACTACCAGTTGTTCAATCTATCGAAACATGCACCATGTAACATGCTCTGCAAGGAGCCCTGTAGTGGCAAAGGCCACTCATATCAACAGCATCACTGAGGATGAAGCAGCCACCAAATTGGTTCCACCAGGACCTCATAAACTGCCAAAAATAAAAGAGCCACAGCAAGAGCTGGCCCTGTGCAGTGCCTTTTCAGATGAACCACTAGGCTAMTAGCTAAGTTTTTGACTATTTTTTTTCCAGCAAGAATAGTAATTTAATCTCTGCCGCTCTAGCYACTGCCATTTTCCTCAAAATTGAAAATTAGTTATTATCTTTGGGACTTTTGACCCTCTTCTAAATGTGGCTGAAACTGGCCACTGGTACACAAAGTTGTTGTAGGAGATTTGTCTTCCCAAAATTGAGGAAAAAGCACACTCTCGAATCCCAGGCAATTTTGGTATCCCCTCTGATGTCAACGAAAGGACCAAATTGGTTCAGGTATCAGTCTTTCACACAGAATCACGATAGTGCCRGGGCATTAGGGCACTTCCAAAATAACACCTCTTTCTATCACAGGCCACAGTARTAATCTTAGGAAAAAGCTACTGAATATACCACACGCTTTCTTTCACTGAACAAAAGCAYAGAAGTAGACTACACTGCTCAAGACTAACCACCGATAAATAACTTTTAATATCTTGGTGTTCATTACATTCAAGTTACTTGCACAGAAAGCTCAACTGCGCTACTAAATTCACTTTGATGTATATGCTTAATTTCATTCACATTACTGGGTCACACTTATATGAAGAAAAGGGGCAAGAAACAATAACATCTTAAGACAAACTGAAGTTATTTCAGTCAAATGYGTCATTTTATGCCAAGAGGCAGAAGAGCTTGACTCATCTCATACTAAAAGGCAAGAACCCACCTCCCAAGTGCTAACCATGGTTCCTGCACCGCTACTCTCACCTCAGGAAAATCATGGAGGTTTCCTGGGTCACAGCTGCACCCCCTGTAAATCTAAAAAGACCTCTGCTTGTTTAAACTACTAAATAGAGAAGAGCACAAAAGCAATGAAGTGGCATTATACGAGCACGTTACGTAAGTGGCAGTGTCCTTGTCTGTTAAAAACCAGCCCTATCAAAGGGCTGTTGTTCCTAACGGAGCCAGCACGTGCCGGGAGCTGCAGGCACTTACTGAGGCTGCTGAGCTGCCGGATGATGGCAGCCAGGGTGCTGTTAGTCACACATTCCAGCTCACTGGTGATTCCGTCCGGCAGGGCTCCTCGGCAGAGGTGCCGCGGTTCGATGTTCCTCTTCACCAAAGGCATGGCTCACAACCTGCAATTTAGAGGAAAATGGGTGTTATTTTTACAACAGCAGCCATAAGAGCTATACATCTGTACAGAACACACATACTTATTTGCTGGAAAAAAAAAAATAACTTCACTATCTTTATTTTCAAGTCGAAAAAAACACGTGTCCTTGCACGACAGGCCTGTAACTATGCCAAGTCCCAACCCACCCTTGCTCTGACGAGCAAGGATCCATCCAAATGGTAACTCATGAGACAAACAGGCTATCAACTAACCAAGAAGATGGAGGAGAGAGAGAAAAAAGCTAAAAACTCAATATCAACAATTAGTTGAAGGCATCAGTACCTGCACATTCAAAAAGAAGAAGTTTCAATGGGGCTTGTTACTGCTTTTTTTAATGTTGTGAAGAAGACAGTTTCCCAGAGAAGCTGGTGAATGACAAGCTGATTTAGGTAAGGGCCTATCTTTAACATATTTTGCAAATATAGGCCAAATTTGGAAAGAGATATTCATCACACAAAACAAATGCTGCTAGGAGTGATATTTTCAGCAAAATAAAGACTAAGAGAGGGAGAGCAAATGTAAAAAGAGATCTTGATGGAAAACAAATGGGAGATAACGGCATCGAGYAAACTACCCTGAAGAAACCAGCTCTGGAAGCAAGGATGGCAAGTTTGGTTAGAATTCTCAAAAGAAAAAAATGTATAAGATTAACAGTTTTTAATGTAATTTAAAAAGAAAAATGCTTAACACAATTATGAGACAACTAGATTAAGGTTCCATTTGAACACTGACAATTCAATATGCATGGACTATTTGAGAATATAATCTGTTTAATGACATTACAGCACCAATACCTCCTGGAATGGCAAATTCATGGTGTTGGCATTTGGAAGACTTAATTGAAAATTTCTTTTTAATTGCATTAAGGCAATTAAAATAACCTTTCAATTTCCCTAATTAAAATCATATTAGTAAATTAAAAAGGCCTTTTTGCTATTCAGATGTTGTAATTTTAGTACCGACTTTTTTCCTGAAGGCATTTTCTTCTCAAGAAYAACTCTGAAGAATATTCATGAACTCTTCCCTGGTTACTAAAAAAGCAAATTATTTAAGATAATTTCAGGATAGGCTAGGGAGGAATTGGCTTACAACTCTGAACCGTAGTCATGAATTTTACTTTATACCTTTCTTGATAAGAGACAGATTGTTTGAATGTATATTTTTGAACCACGCAAGTCTGATCTTTAAATAAATTTAAATAAACAGAGGTAATAAGTAGGAACTTTTTTTTCTGAAGTATGATTTATATTTTCTTTTTTGTATTTCTCTACAAACATTTATTTTTAAAATCCTACGTAGTGGTCAATACTGTCAGGGGTTTCTGAATTTGGTCAAAAACCAGGGAACAATTGGAAATTACAATTAGTGAAGTGTACTTTAGTAWCACCACAGTGTCAGGAGGGAACGGCACTGAAGTTACGGAGGAAATAAAATTATGAGGATTTATTTAACCGTGTAAAGAAACACCCATAGCATAACTAGGGAGAAGCAAATCAGTGGGAGCATAAATCAGTGCTGGAACAGCCCATGCCAACCTTCAGCATTAGTGCCACACGCAGCAAATAATTTTTATCTTCCTCTGTAACAACATTAATAACACTGCCATAAAACTAAAGAGATAAATACTCCTGTGCAACGGTGACAACAACATTTCTGAAATATCGACGGGTGATTTAACATGCCTCATAAAATTGTTGTATGCTGATGCAATTCATCAGTATATGGTTTTAGCGAACACTGCAACCATCCTGCTATAGATATATGTATATTTTTAAAGGGGAACAAAAACAAGGACCCCTGAGGAACGTGTTTTGCTACCCGTCTGTTTCTGGATCTCTCCTTGGAGCCGCTCTTACCCGTGGATCAGGGGCAGCAGGATGAAGCGGGAGCCTCCGGCGGCCCCGCGCGCTCCGAGGCCCTGCGCCTGCCCCGTGATTTAACGCTTCCAGATCAGCAAGAAAGGGCAGGAAGGGGAGATTAAAGATGCCCTCTAATCCAAAAGCTACAGCTGTTTGAATTCACACACGAATTTAAAGGAAATACTGTATTTTTTAAACTTCTGATCGTAGCCAGAAGACAGCAAGGCCTACTAGAAATACACCCGGCCTTCTCATGTATCTACTGTCTTTAATAAAAGCTCGGCAACACATAACCCACAGGTAAGCCAAAAACCTCTTTTATTCCTGCATTGCCATTAAACGGCAACCACCCTCTTCTCCACTGTACACAACCCAAAGAACCCAAAGAAAATCTTACAAATTCATCAGAAGCAGGTATAAAGGATAAAATCTTTTCAAAATACACACAGCAGGAGACAGAAGGTGAAATAAAGACAAAATAAACCTCTGAATCACAGGGGCTAAATTCAGGCAGGGGATGAGAAGCAGGCTGCCAGTTGCGGAAAGGAAACCTAAGTGTTTCTGCAACCATTTAACTAATTATTTAATGCAGCCACCAAGGCCTTTCATGAGCTAAACCTGCTCAGAACCACACTCAGACCAAAAGGAATCAATAACCTGATGGGAGACGGAGATTCAGAGACAAGACACCCTCCTTGGCTCCTTTTTACTGTAGGAATAACAATAATCTGCAGGAATCGAGCTGGCTGGTGCCTCTTCTTCACTTAACAGAATTAGCCACAGTATCCGAGCAAACAGGACCAAGACCAATTTGTGTATGAGGAGGCCCTAAGCAGGCGAGGATATCACATTTCCTGGGAAATGGAAGCCATGCAGAGGGGCTCTTAATAAAATACGTCAGGAAATTAAAAAGAACTGCCYTTGGTCTGCGTTGTGTGGGAAATTTGGTGGTTCTGATGACAGCTTTAGTGTTACGGTTTCTTAAATCTTACTGCGCTCCACATTTCTCCTCCGCTTAAGTCCCTCTACAGCCTGAGCTCATTAGCAGCACAGACACCCCCAACGAAGCCTACACTCTCTGCCCCTGTATTAAACACCGAATCACATTTTTGACGAATCTTAGGATTTCTGCAGCCACGGGCTTCTTGCCAACCCTCCCCAAATAAGCAGAAAAGACCACCTATCGGTCACGCAGTTGTGACTGCTTCCAAGAGCAGCAGCAGCTCACGGACCGTGACCGCCGCCAGCTGCCGAGCAGACGGATGATCACAGAGCTACAGACAGGCTAAGCAGGTYGAGGCTGCAGCCCAGCACTGCACAGCCCCTCATTCAGAAAAGCAGCAGCCCGCCTGCACCGTGACACAGCATTAGCCACAGCGAGGACACGAGTTCGGCCGTCGGCTTCCAGCGAGGCCCAAGGAGCAGCCACGGGAGAGCCGGGCWAAGCGGGAGCAGGACCATGTGGACCCATGGGGGGCTGCTCCCACGGGAGCCCCACAAGCACTCAAAACACAGAGCTAATTCTGACATTCTTATAACATTAGAGCTCTTTACACATAAATACTACAAAACCACGTCCACTTTYCCATACAGCCGCCTATGAATGTTTCCCTGTAATATTTGCTCAAAGATTTTGCTCAATCTCTTTTTCAAGCCCTTGAGAGAAGTTTCATCTGTCATCCCCGGGCAGAGCATAACAAAGCTGAGCAGATTTACCGCAAACCAGAGTTTCCCATATATTCATCCTAGAGTCTCTGCACACACTCTATCATTTTCAGGGAGCTGTAGAGTTTTTTTATTGATGAACCTGCAAGACCTCAATAAAAAAGAATAACCATCATAATTCTCTTTTTATGAGGAAGAGAAACAGGAGAGATATTAAATATGTCAYGTGTCAGAGCGATGTACTGGATGGGATTTTATTCAACATTTAAACACCTAAATTTATATAACRACACAGACATGAGTCTCATGGGAGCTCAGCAGAAGCCAGGAGAGCAACAAAAACACTCCCTATTCCCTACCTTTATAAGAACAGTATGAGAGGCTCAAGTACCTAGGAGATGCGCAAGCAACATATGAATTTTCTGAAATGTGTCTGTCTGAATTTGGATGTGAATTCCATCTCATTTAAGAGGGAGAAATGTTACTGCTCTCCCGAGCCCTTGTTCCCAAATCGAATTATGCTGCCTCCCACCAAGGATGCCTGAGGTGTTTCACTCTTTCAAACATTYGCAGGCAGTTAAATTTCCCCAAATTTATTGTCTTAATGCTCCTATCAACACCGATATTTTCATCTCTGAACCACAGCTAGTTTGGCAATACTGCCATTTTCCTCCTCAAGTTTGTAATTCTAGACACTGGCATCATCCCACATTCAACACAGGCATCTGTGGTACACAGGGAGAAAGGGCAAAGCCAAGCAAGACGAAAGACCCAAAACACTGATTTCACAGATGCCCTTTTTTTTAAGGACTTATCTTTTATCAGTTCATCTCTTCCTCTTCCCTAAAGGGCCCCCCTCCTTCATTTACAGGCACGAAGAACRGGATCCATGGACAGCAGAAACTTCTATCTTTTCAGCTCAATGGAAGGAAAGGAACAAAAGAGCCTCTCTGCTCATCCCTCAGTGCTTGTCCCTTGTCTTAAATGATGATGATCAGGAACTTGATGCTTGGGAATTCTTCCTATTCATTATAATCTGTGAATGCCATGAACTTCTGTCTTAATATAGAAGAAGTTATAAGCAARTAAAAACCTTGAACGAGCGCAGAATCTGGAAATCATTATTTGAAGTTCATGAGCTGTATAATGTCATTCAGCTGTACTTAGGAAGCTTATTTAAACTGGTTGCACTCTATGCCAAGTTTGAATCAATATTTTACATACTGAAAAAGAATATAAAATACTTACCATCCAAAGAGAGCACATGACTTCCTTAAGCATCCAAAAAAAAGCATATAAAAAATATCTGGAGGTGTCTTACTTTCATAGCATCACCTAGTTGTTCACCAATCTAACAAGCATGCAATAACTCTCTCACTTCTGTTGTTATGGAAAAAAATATTAAAATAATAAATTGTTTTACTCATGTTCTCTTGCA